TTTCACCCCCTCAGGCGGTCGCTAAATGAATGCCAATTTTTTGTGTGGTAAAGAATGTATATCTTAACGTTTTGACGGGCATGAGAATTTGAAACCTTTTTTGCGTGGGGGTTAAACGAATTTATTTGTAGTTTAGGGGCAGATTTCACCCCTCTCAGACGGTCGCTAAATGAATGCCAATTTTTTGTGTGATAAAGAATGTATATCTTAACGTTTTTACGGGCAAGAGAATTTGAAACCTTTTTTGCGTGGGGCTTAAACGAATTTTTTTGTACTTTAGGGGCAGATTTCACCCCTAAGGCGGTCGCTAAATGAATTCCAATTTTTTGTGTGGTAAAGAATGTATATCTTAACGTTTTGACGGGCATGAGAATTTGAAACCTTTTTTGCGTGAAGGTTAAGCTAATTTTTTTGTACATTAGGGGCAAGTTTCACTCCCTCGAGCGATCGGCTAAATCTATAGCTTTATATCCTTCTAGTATATTATATCATGGCTACCACAGCAGCCACTTTTTAACTGTTTCAATTATCCTCCGCCACTGGACGTTCGGGTGTGTTCGGCAATTTGGCTGCTAACTTCACACAGGTCTATGTTCCGTACAAATAGCACTATTGCATCTAGCACACCTTTTTTTTGATTTCCTGTTCTTTCTTCTTGGACAAAATGCACAAAATCCTAATGCGTTATCTTGATTTGGTCTCCCGCATGAAATGTAGATAACATCAATACATTTTTCTGAGGTTTTGGTTTGTAGGATAACAATACACTATCTTTTTGGAAACCAAACATGCTACTAGGTACAGGTCTTTTCAGGTTTATGAATAAGGCTGGAATTTCCCTTTTGTTTTTTTTTATTGTGCCAACAAGTGTACTTCTCTTACCAAGTAATTCTTTAGCCAATGGAATTGACGTAAAATAATTGTCAAGTGTAATGTTTCTACCTGTATTTAGTATTGGAGATGCTATGCGCATAGTAACAGCAAATGCAGAGTTGTCCAATTGAAAAGGACCAACCGGTTGTCTCGGTAAAACATTCTCGAGTCGACTAAGGCATATATTTTAATTCCATATTTGGACGGTTTGTTGGCTATATATTGCCGAAACTTACAACGCCCTCTAAAGTTTTCTAGCATTTCATCTACTGTGCAATATTCTCCCACCTGATAATTTTGTTCACATTTGTTTACAAATTTTTCGAATATTTCTCGAATAGGCGCTAAATTATCGAGTTTTTTCCGTTCATCTCTATCATTGATATCATCAAACCTCATCGCTCTTCCTAAAAGATGAAATCGTTCGCGTGACATCGTTAGTCTAAAACAAGCAGGTGCAAAGATCGAATTAGCCCAAAGTTCTTTAGTATTTAGATATCGAGATTTCTGTAATCCAGCCATATACAACAAGCCAATAAAACCGCACATTTCTGTAGTATCTGTGTCTAGACAATCTCTTTCTCTTGTATAATTTGGTCTTATTTTGGCCAAATAAATATTTGTGTATTTTACAATTTGTGCAATCATTTCTTCTGTTATGTATAATCCCCAGCATGATTCTACAGTCTGCATTTTTTGCAATATTTTTTACTCCCGGAACGTGACTAACGATATTTTTTTTTGGCACTAGTACATTAGGACGTGGAGGATGAGCCATCCATTGAGTTTTGTTATCTTTACCTGTAAAATGGTGAAATAAAGTGTTCTCACCATCTTCAGGTACGAAGTCTTCAATTTCTTCATCAGATTGTTCTGAATCGGTGTTGTGAACGCTATGGTCACTTGGAGCATCACTTTCAATGTCAAATCGGTCATCATCTTCCATAACTTCCTGATTTTCCCATTCTTTTTCTTTGAGATTTCTTCGTATCGAAGTCGCCCCAATTCTGCCAGCATCCGTCCCCTATTCATTGCTTGCGCTGTGAAATACGTAAAACAAACATAGATAACCAATTTATACAAAAAAAAACTCATATATAGGTACTTACTAAAACACTATCTCAATTTGAAAAAAAGAAACATACGTTATCACTCGCGCGATGAGAGGAACTCTCACAGTGGCGCGCGACTGTTGACAATTGCACCGTATCGAACGCAAATATGCACACAACTGCAAATGCCCGAAGCAACTTGATGAGAAACCTTGAAAAGTCAGCTAGAGATGGGGGTGGGATGCCACGTGGTTTACAGTTCATAAACTGTGCAGATTAGTGAAAGACCCCGGTTCAGCCATCGAGTTTACAACTGGGGTGAAGAGAAAAACGATACTACAAAACCCTGATACAGGAGAGAGCATACCCGATCCCAAGATCGTTGTCGTTGAAATGCACGAAACTAATTAGTAATTTATATGGACTTGTTGTCTAAACAAAGCCCTCCTCTCCGAAAACCTAATAAATATTACATTTAAAAAAAAAATACAAAAATTGATGAAAATTGGTAAGTTTTAATATTAATATTGGGTTAACTATCGAAATTCTTCTGATAAGGTCATAATTTTGGGAAGAAATGACGCAAGACTGAGATAGACCTATACGGCAAGACATATGATACATAGAGACAAGCACTGTATTAGTGGTGGGGTAACTTACCGTGACGTTGTGTGCCGTAGAATACGAAAATCGTGCGGCTAAGTATCCTATCTTGTAGTCTGTGTATCATGGTTAAATCTACTTTACTCTTATCTTTATCCTCGGCTTTATCTATATTTGGAAAGTGGTATGTGTTCTTATCAGATTTAACATGCTTAGCCAGTATGTGTTTTTTTAAAGGAATATGTTTTGAATAGATCTAATGCAATGATAGTGACGACAAACGTAATTTCTCGTACATACTGAATTATGCCTGAATTTCATATGATAAAATAGGTGATTGTGGTGGCTAAAATATTCTTTACAATAATACAAGGGCAACTAAATTGATCCATTTTCTTTGGTTTTTAAATGTTTTATAAGTGTATCAGCTGTTTAAAACTGTACATCTAAACATTATGCACATGGTAATAATTTAATACACGTTATGAAAAATTGATGAAGACCATCATTTAGGTTGTAATTTCCTTAAATGTGTTCTAAATCGCTCTTGTGTTTTGAAGGAATAATCCGGAGGATTAGCAAATAATCGTGCACTTTTGTATCTTAGAAGCATGAATTTTGGTATACGACTTACCTATACCCCAACAGTCATTTGAAAACATTAGAGCCACTCTGGCTCTCTGCCAGCCACAATACTATTAAGGGTGTAAATCAGAGTGCCTCCTCTATCACGTAAAACGGATGTTAATATAGAGTCAAAATGTATGAACTATCATACCGAATTAACGCGTTTAATTGTTCCAAATATAACTGATAAGCTTCCAAGCAAAACATTTCACATTAGTCATATTAATCTGCCGGAAGGTATAACATAACCCTTGCCGATAATACATTCAATGAGAGTAGCGAAGTCGACATGCTGATAGGAGCCGAATTATTTTGGAAGATATTGTGTGTCGGACAAATTAAGTTAGGGCAAGCAACTTTGCAAAAAACAAAATTCGGCTAGATAGCAACAGGAAACATTCCACCCTTTGAAGCTCCGGAGGTAACGCTTTCAATGACGTCACAAGAATTTTTCGAAAACAACCAACAATTAAAGCAGGTTTGGGGTGACTCAGGCATTCCATTAAGTAAAGACGAACTTGCATGCGAAACATCTTTATGACCACTCACAAAAGAAACGCTCAAGGCCGTTTTATTGTTGAAATACCGTTTAGGCAAAACCCAAGAAACTTCCAAATTCATATGATATCGCACTAACTCGTTTTCGTGCTTTAGAAGACAGATTTAGGAATCACCCCCAATTGCAAACCGATTACAAGTATTGTTTACCTTTAACTTTTGTATGTATAATAGTGTTTAATAAATATGGTTTGTTCTCAAGAAGTTTATTTACTATCATAAACAATAACAGCTAATACATTTAACAAGCCGGTTAAAACTTTCCAATGAAAATTGGCCAGTCAACTGCGGCTCCATCGAAGAAAGGTAACTCCATCATCACGTCTTTCAGTGCTGCTATTAGGCCGTTAATAGGATTACCGTTAGAACTCAGCTCGTTGGTAAATCTCACCCTTTGCTGATGTACTCCACCATTGGCTTTATTTAAAATTTCTCCGAGTGGGTTCGAGGTAGGTGGACAAAAAACTGGGATTTGAGGACGCTCGTTGAACGTTTGACTTTCACCACAGGTTTGTTTAACCTCTTGCGCCCATTCAGTAACGTAATCATTTTCCTCCTTTTGCAAGTCCTCAACCGTATTTTCACCGGCCCCATGAACAGATACCGCATTCTGGAATTCTTTTTCTTCGTTCACATAGATTTGAATATCTTCTCTCTGGAGTTCATACATCCTTCTAGCGAGCTCGCATTCAGGTTCGTATTCTTTGCGTACACGTCGAAGTTCCAACTTCTTACGGGCAATTCCGTATTACATTGTTTTGGCGTCGTTTTAACATCGGCTCGTGGTAGACTTATGTTGAGGTCAGAAATTGAATCTTCCGGCTTTGCAGCAAATCAGTGTATTTGAATTCCAGGTTCAGCAGCTTGGATTTATAACCGTTTTCTAGCTTACGGAATCTGGCATTCGCTGACATCTAAGACGCGTGACTTGGACAATAAAGTTGCCATTCGTGTGATTGGCAACTGATCTGCTGCTCTCACCGATCCTGACGTTACTTCCGGTTATACAGCAACGGGGTTTTCACGATCCACGAATGGTGAACTTGGCACTGCCGTTGATTGCACGCCTAACGCATCATAGGTTAGCTTGTTATGCGCAATAACTTTCCTTTTGTCGGCCATCTTGACTGGTGACTTTCCAGTACTGACGTCCAGCAACGCATTAGACTAATGTGTAACTGCCCTGTTTTTTAAAGAAAAGGATATACCGTGAGAAAGTGCCATATTCAGCTCTTCCACAACAACTGAAAGTTCAGCTTCGGGGATTAAAATCAGCGCAACGGGAGATTCGTCATTTGCGAGTGACGGTGGCAACTTTAAACGCGGAGAGGATTGCCACACAAGATATTATTACCAGAGTCCGTGCAATTAGGCAACTAGCTGACTGGTATACTGAAAAGGATCCCGGTAACAGCATTGGGCTTCTATGTACGTATGCCCGTTCAATATGAGACAACGCTTCCAGGGACATAAATGAAATGTTGCTGCGTTTTAGTGAGGTGTACCAACGCGTAGACGCTTTGCGAAAAACGTATGACTCTATTTTTTAATTGTTTTTCTGTTCGCCATAGTGTATGTAGTGTAAATATTTAGTTTTAAGTT